TTTTTAATTAAAAGATGAAGAGTGTAATAATAAAGGGACACAAATCTCTTATAATTACAAAGACATTTCGTGCAAATGAAGAAACTCAAATCTGATTTGTCTGTATTCATCAAAAATAAGATTCCAAAATTGTATCACAGTCAATGAAACCATTATAAAATATTAAGCAGAAGGCCAAAAACGGTTATGGCTGGCATGACCAAAGATGTAGAATAACTGGTCATGATTTATTGCAATTGAAAAAGTACCCCAAAAATGGAATTGACAAAAGTTTCCAATAAACAATAAGAAAAGAAAGAAAAAGAACAGGACAAAATAATATAAAGGAAACAATATTTATGCAAGACAAAACTAAGCAAAGCAACAGTAAAAGTTAACAAAATAAAAATGGTATTAACATGCAAAAAGAATACAGTCAAGTGATTGTAGTGTTCTGACTTCAAAAGAAGAATGAACAAGAAATATAGTGGTTGAGAATGAGAAGAATATGTAAACTTAAGGAATCTACGAGAGAAACGGATAGTGATCATGATTCTGCATCCCCCCCTCAAAAAAAATATATTGATCTGGCAAATAATACGAGAGCGTACTGAAAAAAATTCTTGTTTCAACCTAAAATTCTCATGGTTGTGAATTGAAGTTGTTGGTGGGAGCGAAAACTTTTCAGAAGCCCCTCGTATGTAACCTATTTTGAGTAAACAAGATTTCAACAAAAATTGTTTAAAATATATTTCCATGATGCAAAGCCTTTCTACCGTGGAAAAATATGCAATACATTTCTAAAAAATACTTACAACGATAACATTGAAAAGATGACCTATTTAAATGAAATTATATTTTGGGTGAGCTGATATAACAATTGCAACTACACAACAATATCAACTACACAACCATGATTTCTGTATATTTTGTTATGATCCAGAATGATGATGATATTTCATCATTCTATAAATAATCCTGCCATCAGTGATGATAGAAAATAAGGATATTTCATCATTTGAAAATTTGAAACGACTCTTACACCACAAGCAGTGGCAGTAGCAGTATTAAAATAGACCAACATTCATGTATCTTTATCCCTCCTTGAAAATCAAAAACTGGTGATCTCAAACGTTATGCTCACCAACGAAATTCTCAGAACAAGCAACAAAAATAAACAAACATTTAAAGAAACAAAAGAGACAGTAAGACTGAGAATATTTTTAACACACACAACACCAATATCTGTAATTCACATCACGAAAAAGAAAATTACAAATTCTTGTTATTAATGTTGATTTATTAATGCCTCGGTTAATATTGTTTATGTTATTGTTGTACGCTTTTATTCGTTTCGTTTTAAGTATAACAAAAAATAAAAAGAATTCCTTTATCAACTGCTACTACAAATATAACAACGAGGTAATTACTTTAACTACCTCAACATCTGACCCCGTTACAATTTCTTATTACGAGAAATGTTTAGTGGATACACTTATTTGAAGAGATACACCTGCTTTTTTTCTGCCGTTTTTGGCCAATCGAATGTTTTAATATAAAAACAAGTGCATATCTCTTACAACGGAAAAGAACTCAGTGCGCTTTGGTTCGCTAAATTACGAGAGAACTCTCAGCAAAATAAGGTGGGATTATTCTTTTTTTTATTGGGACTTTTCCAAGCGTCCATCTGCAAATTTTATTTTTGTACGCGAAAAATAATTTATAAGAAATTCATAAGGAATTAATAGAACTTTTAAAATCCGCCATTATATTTCATATCTTAGAAATGTTATATTTTCCAAATACGCGTCTTCCACTGTCGAAACGGTTAAATGTAGCCGTCTCTTCTACTCCAACATCTTCATGTCTCGCACTTCCTATATGTGGACTTCCTTTCTGTTACTTGCTTCCCTGATAGCTATAATCTTCAATTATTCAAATGCAATGTCAATCGACATCTTCAGATGCCTTCATCTAATTCCTCGGTCTTCTCTTCATCCTTTCCTCTATTCACGCATCTTTACTCTTACCCCCCCTCTCCGTAACCCTTTGCGTGCTAGTGGCACTTCCGCTTTGCTTGGGGGTGAAATACTTAAAAAATTGAGCAGACATTTCTGTTTTTTTCATAAAACTCTAACCTGTCGAGAGGCACGTTGCCTTAATTATGCCTTTCGATACCTAGGCGGGCAGACATTAATTGTATTGCTAAAAAAAAGAAAACATCGGGATGTTTGTTAAAACATACACAGTGCAGTAATGGATAGCAGCTCGGATTGAGGAATCCATTACATTCACTTACGTGCTAGTATCCTTGGGAAAGGTAGGAATCCTCTTCTTCTCCCCCCCCCCACCAGCTATGGGTAAATAGCAGGACAGACCGGGTTCTCTAGCCTTGGATGGCAACTGGTATACCGCAGAAAGAAATGGCAACCTACTGCGGGAAAAATCTGCCTCGTCAGTCATTTATCGAAAGATACATGATCACCGAAGCGTGTATCACGCATAGCACATAACTGACTCACTATATATAACACTTAAATTAATAAGAAATTTATACTTATGTATGCGTTTTTGCGGTGGTGGTGGTGGTGGGGGGGTGAAGTATTCTTGGCTCAACCCACTTCTCAAAATCTGACCAAATGAACAAACATCACCAAATGCGGGTCCCCCCATGTCCATATGCTTGAGGCTATATTGTTTCTTATTCAGTGCCCTTATACTATGAACGTAAACATTAGTTAAAAAACAGAACAAACAGAAACAGATAGAAAAGGAAAACTTCTAAAGATCTGTAAATAGCAATTACCAAACATTATATATATATATATATATATATATATATATATATATATATATACCGCATATCGTTGTGTAATGCGCGGTCTCGCGTATCGTACGACGGTCAAATTTTCACTTATAAAAATGATTTTATCGTGTATCTCGTGTACCTTTATCTCATTATCCCTTCTTCTAGTTAAATAAGCTCAAAAAGTAGAAGATATATAGTTTGGTTAACGGTGTAGCCAGCCCCAGCTGTACATACGCTAATTTTATATCTCGTGTATGATGTTACCCTCTTAAAATTAGCTTCAAAATTAGGTCTTGAAAACGCGGGTAATACTTTAGGTAATTGGATGGGCAGTATTGCGTGGTGTCAAGAGGGCCGATTTTATCATCTGTTATTTGAGAGACCATATTACAATAGACTAACCTCTTTTCCTCTATCTCTTTATCCCATCTTCTAGTTAAATAAGTTCAAAAAGTAAAAGAGAATGATAAAAGTATCGTTAGTAACGTTATACTCGTTGCGTAAACGCGTACAGCCATAAAAAACCGAACGAGAAACAGCTAAACATCTTAGAAACTTAAACAATGGAAAAGATGCATATTTGCTATGCTTATATTTCATAATACGATTCTAATATGTGAATATTACATGCATTATTATCATGTTTATTTTAAATATATTTGTACTTTTTAACTACAGTAAATGGATTTATAGTTTGGTCAATGGCGTCGTCAGGGTCAGCAGTACATACGCTAATCTTATATCTCGGGCATCATGGGACCCCCATAAAATTATCTTCAAAATTAGGTCAAACGTCGCATGATACGCGAGTATATATAGTAGATGTTTGAATTTCCATGTGATTATTTCCATTGTAATCAGGACAATAAAAGAATAAAGGAGAGAGGTCACGTGATTCCCTAATGGGAGAGAAAGGAAACTCGTCATATAAAGGTAACTGACAGTATTGTAAGTAAAGGGTCATCAGCAGGCCTTTGGGGACAGTGTAGCAATTTTTAGCGTATATTTTTATGACGCATTGCACGTAGGCCCGTTTAAATGGGAAAAGCAACTGTTACGACCAGAACTTGAAATAAAACACGATTTTTTCGAATTCATAAAACATAATTAATCAGTTCTCCTGTTAATCAAGATAAATTTGAGATCCGCCATCCATTTACTCAGACTTCTTCTTCGTCTTCTTCTTTATGTGCCGTGACCCTTCAGGGCGTGGACGATCATGGCCCTCCACAATTTTCCTCTTACTTTGTAGCTCTTAATAAATTTTGTCTTTTTGTTATCTCTCCATCATCCATTTACTCAAGCCCCTTCTTGTTCTTCTATGAGCAATGTCACTTCAGGACGTTGGCGAGCAAGGCCCTCCACAATTTCCTGTCCTTTCTAGCTCTTAATAAATTTTATCTTTCTGTTATCTATCCTAAACCCTCTTCTGTCGCCCATTTACTCAAGCTCCTCCTCCTCCTCCTTCTTCTTTTCTTCTTCTTCTTTATGTGCCGTGTCCCTTCAGAACGTTGGCGATCATGGCTCTCCCCAATTTCCTGTCCTTTGTAGCTCTTAATAAATTTTGATTTTTGTTATCTCTTCTAAACCTTTATAATTTAAACGTTTAACAAAGTGTCACAGAAACTATTTCTCTAAGCAAAAGACAAAATATAAAACGGATTAAACCATATCGTGTCTGTAAATGGATGAAAAAGTGAATGCTGATTAAAGTCGCTGTAAGTTGATTCCTAAACAGTAAGAGGCGAAGTAATTAGTCTCAAAATGAAATCAAACTCTTACATCTTAGGGCTGAAAAAAGAACTTAGCGGGCTTAAATTAGCTCAAATGGTTGGGGATATACAAAAGTGAGGGTTGGGGAAAGGTTCTTAGCCGATTAACATAAGTAAACCTAATCTCATTGTCCTAATAAGAATTAAAGGTATCTCCCACCCAATTCTTAAAGGTTGCCAGGGGTCGCTAAAGATATTTTTAAATCAGTGTTTCCCTAAATGAACGTTAGTGTAACGTGTAGATTAAAATCAGTGAAACCAGTTCAAATCCCGGCCCTTTCTTATTGCTTTCACTTTCAAACAAATGCTCTTGGGGACACATGGATCTATCTCTACTCAACTCACTACAGGATAAATTCAGCTCTGCAGTTTTTTTTTAGTTTTTTTTTTTAGTTTTTTTATTATTATTATTAATAATTCCATCCTAGAGTGAGGTGGGCTTACGGCCATACCACATTGAAACTCCGGTTTTCGTACGATAACCGAAGTTAAACAACGTCGATCCTGGCCAGTATCTAGATGGGTGACAGCTTGGGAATACCAGGTGCTGAAATTTGGATGTGCCGGTGGTGCAAGTGATAACGGCTCGGAATTGGGGAGCTGAGTTCGAATTCCAGCCGTGTTCGATATTATCAATTACGAGTAATGGGAAAGGTATGAATCCACCTCTTTTTCCCCAGTTATGGGTTAATTAGTTAATTTAGCCTATCGACCTTTTGCAGGCTACTTAAACCCCAAATCCTTTGTTTCAGATTGTAAGAACTTTGGGACTCATAATGAGGAAAAGAATTGGTGAATTGATATGTGGCCTCGCATCGTGTTGCTGAAACAAAGGCCGACCTCACTGGACATATTGAAGCCAAGGGAAAAACCTCGAGTAACCTACCTAACGAGCTTGTGTTAATGTCGATTTTCTAAGGTTGAAAGTTCGGGGCACCCAGTGAGGATCGAATTCTCTACTCAGTTGTAATGGTTGAAGAGGCACGGTGGAGTAATGGATAACGGCACGGATTGAAGCGTTCAATCCGTTGCAGAGCCGAGTTCAAATTCCAGTCGAATCCATTACATTGGGAAAGGTATGAATCCTCTTCTTCTCCCACCCCCCAGCTATGGGTAAATAGTAGGACAGAGTGGATTCTATAGTCTTGGGTGGTAACCGGTCTAGGAGAAAATAACCCTGAATTCAAAAACTGTATGTAGCCTTGTCGTAGCACATACTATGTAGCTCAGGAAACGATCGTTTGCATTGGCTCGGCAAATGATGAATAAATGATGAATGGTCCTAGCGAAACAAGCTTGCTAACCATTGCACCACGTCGAGGTCCCCCGACCTTGTGTAAATCAATGACAGAATATGCCACACAAATATAAACTTTACTAAGAGCTACAGAGAATAGGAAGTTGTGGAGAGCCGTGATGGCTCCCGTCCCTAAGGGATACATAAAATAATATAAGAATGGAAAAACTATTCATTTATCAAAATTAGAACTATTTGGTTTAATTACAAGATTGTTGTGTCGTCAAAACAACTCTTTGTTACCACTTTGTCTATGACCACATACACTTGCTTGTATGTCAATGCTAACGTAGTAGAGACTTTGTAATCGCAGATACCAATTATAATACGCCGTTGACCAATACTAGTGTCAGAATAATACTCGTACTAATAGTATTTAGTATAGTGAATAGAGTAGAGAACATCGGTCTAATTAGTAATAGAAGATAGAAAAGAAATTGCGATCCGTAAAGTATAGAGGATAGACTAGGATAAATGAACACCTCAGACGTCACGCAACTTCCTCTATATATGCGTCTCCGCTATGGTCACGTGATCCTCTTCAATAATGGAATCGCTTGTGTTTGCTCACCGGCGATTTATGTTCAAACACAAATGTCGGCAGCAATACTTTATTTCTGTATTGTTATACAGAAATAAAGTATTGCTGCCGACATATAGAATTAGAAATGGAAACAAAACAATGATTTCCAGTGGAACTCCTATATACGATCCATCGTTACTAAAGATGCAGTTAAAATGTACTACCACTTCTGTAGGTACCTGACTCCTCATGCTATTCCTCTACCTGCCAGATCAGGCCAAAAATGGAGTACTGTTGCCATATTTGGGCAGGAACTACTCAGACCTCACTTTCCAGTCTTGATAGAGTTCAAAAGCGTCTCCGAGTCCTTGTGGGAGAAGAATTATTTTTCACTCTCCAACCTCTCTCTCTCTCTCTCACACCGGCGCGATGTGGTGAGTCTCTATCGCTAATTCCATAGAAAGTGCTCGGACGAACTGCATCTCCTGGTTCAACCAGATCAGATCTTCATGGCTAGGAACCACGCACATTCCCTCCGTATTCCATCGGTGAGAAGTAAGTTCCACTCAAACAGCTTCTTCTGACCAACTACTGCCCTGTGGAACAGACTCCCAAGAGGATGTTTCCCCGATCACTACAATCTTAACAAATCTAGAGTTAATCGTTATCTTCTCCTTCTATAAGCTACCCCTTAACGTAATCCTCTACCTCGAGTGGCCCTCAGGCCTTGTACAAGGTGAACCTTACTGTAAAAAAATATAATTAAGCCTAATTTGTTTCATTTTGCAAATAAAAGCTCAAATATGTACACATAAATATTAAGTTCTGACTGACTTAGAAAGTGGAAAGAAAACAACAAAATTTTATGGAGCAAAACCATCATTCTGGATGATGTTCGGCCATTGATCAGATAGCATCCAAATCTGTCCCAGATACCAGTCTGTTGGCTTTGAATAAAAAAAAAACTTTAAACAATTTTTCTTCACTTCATCAAAAGTCTTGAATCGCTGGTCTCGGAGGAACTATGCCTTTGAGTGGAGTTCGCCGTAGTCACTTGGCGCAGCATCGGGACTGAACGGTGGATGTGGAAGAATCTCAACACCATTCATCTGTTTAAACTTCTTCTTAGTCAACCTAGTAGTGTGTAGCCTCGCATTGTCTTGCTAAAACAAAACCTGACCTTGAATGACCAAAGCAAGGATACTCCTTTAATTTGTCGTACACGCGGTCTAGCTGCTGGCAATACAGTTTAGTGTTGATGGCGCGACCGTGTGGAACAAGCTCAAAATGCAGTACTCTTTGGAAATTCCACCAGACAAAAATCAAGATTTGTTGTTTTCTTTCCGCTTTCTAAGTGATTCAAGACTTTCTGGACAAGTTAATACATCCGTGTAGACACCCAGGAACGAATTTTATTTTTGTTCATTTTTTTTTATTTATGCCACCATGAATTCAGAAACCCTTCTTCTTTTATGTTCCGTGTCCATTTAAGGTTCTCCACTTCTTCCTATCCTTTGTAGCACTTAATAAGTTTTGTCTTTTTCTTATTTTTCCCAAACCCTGTTCTGTGATCCGTTTTTGTAAACCCATGTTACACACTGCTTTCCTTTGATCCTCTTTCCTGTATCAAATTTTCCAATATCTCATTATTTGTCTCAGAAATTTCAACTGCCTCTAAATGATGTTAAGTCTAAGTTACATTTTTGTTTCCATTCTCTCTAAAACCTTGCCGTTGTTCACATGTTCAACCCATCGTATCCTCAGCATTTTTCTGTAGAACATTTTTGTTGCTTAGAGTCTCTTCTTCATCTTTGAGGAGATTGTCCAGCATTCGCTGCCATACTGCAGGACAGATATCACGTAACAGTTCAGTTATCTTTTCTTTGTTTCCAACGAAATTTTCCTGTCTCTTAATACTCTGCTTGGGTTTTAGAATGCATCTTCGTCCCTACCAATACGTCTTCGGATTTCAGTGCCGCACATTCCGTCTTCTGTTAGAACATTTCGCAGATATTTAAATTTCTGTACTTGCCTGATTTTAGTATCTGCGACCTGTAATTTGTATTTCGGGCTTATCTTTTAACTGATAATCCTGCATTCTTTTTATACTTTACACTTAGTCCTTTCTTATCGCTTTCCTTCGTTACCTTCTGTAGGAAGCTTTGTAGTTTCCCTTCCGCGTCTGCTATAAGAAACCCTATTTTGTTTAATAAAAAGAAATCTGTAATATACAATGAGTCTCGTGGGTAATTAATATAGTGTCTTCTCAATTATAATCTATTTTACTTAAATAACATGTGATATATGATCATTGCTTATACCTTTAGCTCTGATTGTTGTTCACCGAGTACTAATTAAAAAGGATTATCTATTTTTTTTCTTTTATTCCTCTTTTCTGTTCCCATCTTTTTACCCCGTTACAAACCAGTGATAAGGTGAGGTTGAATCATAATTGATAGGTGAGAGGAAAGGATCACCATTTCGAATTCAACTGGAACTGAATGAAGTTTTTCTCTTTCTTTGTTGCTTGACACATTTATAAGTTACAGAAATGTATTTTATATATTTAAACACAAAAGCTGTTTAAATATATAAAACGCTCTCGGTTTTGGGACATACTCTAGTTACTGCGAAAAGGGTGAATTGGTAGGATCTCTTTTTACTAGTTCGTGTAATGTGATTGTCCGACACAAGATGGAGTTCTGCGTATGATGATAAGCTACATCTGGCAGCAAGGCCTCTGATCGGGAGGTTTGAGGGTGTGTAGAACCACCTCTTAATTGCTGTTGTTCACAGGTCCTCCTTGGCCCGGGGTGGAAGGACCTGTTAGGGTCCCAACTATGAGCAAATAGCGAACCCCCTAAACTGGTGGCAAAAGACTATGAAAGTATAAAATACATTGCTCCCAATAAAATTAAATTTCGGGATTAAATGACCCATAAGGAAAGAATATGCTGTTGAACAAAATAATCCGGATTTTTTCTGTTAATTTACCCCAAATATTTTAAAGTTACTTATCGCAAATATTAATTCACCCCAAGAAATTATAAATTTTAAATCAAACTTTGTTTAGCTTGTCTCGCAACAACTCCAACCATCAGAATGAAAAATTGCCAAAAATCGGGGAGTTCTTCACATTTCGTAAGTGCGAATGATATTCGAGGTACTTACAAGAAATTTTTAGAATTTAAAAAAAAAGAAAAAATCTGTTTTTGTCTTGATTATCGGATTGAGTGCGAATGCTGACCCCACACTTAGAAATATCGCACCCGAGTCGCACGCATTTGGGGCGTTCGCAAAGGTCAGCCCAACAGGAATGCAATGGAAGGGCCTCGCTCCGGGAGATTTTGGTGTGAATTTTAGTAAGTATAAATTAAAATCTTTATATCTTGGGGGTGAATTAACAGAAAAGATCAAATAAAGAATCATTGTACCAGAAAAAATCTCTGAATTTAGTTGGGGCTGTTACTTTGCATGAAAACCTATCCTTTTTTCTTTTGTTTTTATATTTCGGAGTCTAGTACTAAGCGAAATAAAGGCCGTTCGGTTCTAACTTCAGTAAGGACTTGTGTTTGATCAATGTGTGCAAAACATAAAACCACTAACATTTTTCCCAAGAAAAACGGCATTGTCTTGTGTCAAATTCAACTGAGTTAGCCTTGCGGGTCTGTAAAGCATAAGTTATTTTTTCTACAAAGAGAACACGTCTCGTGTACAGATTAGTGAGGCTAG